GTCTAAAGCTTATTTGGCACTGCCGTGAGCCTCAACCCTTGTTATTACCCCGAAGGCCTGTCTTAAAAAAAAAAAAAAAAAATTAAAAAAAATAACTCATGTTCTATTACGCCACTCCAATAATTTACAGTTCTCACCTGCCATGGTTAGTGTAATATTTTAATGCAAATTGCTTTACCATTGCATTTTAGTAAAACAAAGTTCCCATGCTTCCAGCTAGTGTACTATCCATTTGATGGGTGTTCACTGAAACCCTCTTATTCCCTGGTCAGGTTTTAGTGAATGTGCTCTGTTTTCCTGGGTTGCTTAAAATACCCCCAGGGGGTGAAAAGGTTAATTAAACTTCCTTTGAGAAAGAAAGTTTTTGTTTGTTTGTTTGTTTGTATTTTAAGAACCTGCATGCGATTAAAAACCACCTAAGGAAGCCACACTAGTTCTTATTTTCCTACATACAGTACCCAATGCAAATTTACATCTGAGCAACATTATTTAATTAGGGTTCCATTTTCCAACCTGCTTTGTGTAGTTAGAAAGTGTTTGAATATAAAGCCACTTTACTGCTCTGATGTAAACCGCTGCTGAGATGTGGTCTGTCCATGCTACACCACCTCTAAATTGTGTATATAATTTTATAAATGATATAAAATCTGCTTCTAGTCCCTGAAAAAAAAAAAAAAAAAACAACCTTACAAGCATGGCACACTGCAATTTGAGAAGGATTTAAAATATGTGATTTCTGCTGGTACCTACTGTATTGGGTTTTATATAAAGCTTTTTTCAATAAGGTAAATTGTTACATGACAAACTCATCTTCCACCATTATCATCTGCTGTTTGTGTTTAACAACAGGAGTCCCGTTCTAACAAAACTGTTGTAATGGCTGTACAAATTACTCAGCTGAAAGCTTTTCACCAAACAAAACAGTATTAATCAGCAGTTCTTATGAAGGTGCTAATTAAAAACAATTTTCTTCCTCAGTTTGCAATACTAAAGCCATCTTCACTTGCACGGTTTCCAATATACAGCTACTGTATTTGCTCACACTTCAGGCCCTCTATTAACTATTGAATCTCCTATTAGCCATTTTATTACATTTCTGTTTACAAGCTTGTTGACATTTTTTAAAAAGTCACAGTATGATCAGTTTTATCTGTTAAAAAATGTATTAATTGAAAAGTCAGGGGAACACAAAAAAGGCAAAACACAGACTCTAAATGCGCAAACTTCCAGAATAGAGAACACAGTGAGCATTTAGCCATAGTCTGGCCTGCAATCTCTCTGGGTAAAAGGAAATCTGAGAATTAAAACTGGCATTTTAGCCTTTATGATCACTGTTAAACACCAATGTGCTTCTTTCCCAATTTGGAAAGTATCCATCCCCCAGGAAAAGATATTTGCTGTTGAAATTCAGTTTTCTAAGGAGGCCAGTTTGACTGTCAAATCCATCTTTCCACGATGGGATATAGTCCACAGCGATTACGGCATTCCATACTGAACTCAATGGCACTTCACAACAACAACATACTGAACTCAGGATTTTAATCTGGAAGAGGAGCAGTACCTGGGATCTGGGAACTGGAGCTCAGATAGAGCTAGCATCTAAACAGCAGCTTCCCTGTGAGTGTGCGTATGTCTGTGTGTCTACACAGGCCTTGATTCCCTCCCCCTGTGTGGGCATCCTGCCCCTCCCCCTGGAGCCCATGACAGGGTCCTGCCAGACAATGCCACAGAATTATCTGGCTCAGGCTGGAAACAAGTCAAATGCTGACTAACCACACAGACAAACTGTGGAAGCTGGGTCGAGGGAAGGGGGCAGTTCATTCCTATGGGGGAAAAAAATACTCCTAACCATTAGGAGAAGGCAGGTCCAACTTTGGTCCTGGTAAGAAGGGAGGGACAAAAACGAGAAGGAAACCTCCTGCCTATGGTATTAAAACCAGGTTCTTCAACTGTCAAAAGCAGTTAACTAGTTTAGGACAGACACCTGGCTGTTGAAATAGGGCTCCAGAGGACCACTAATCCTTCTATTCACTCAGTTAACTGCTGGATCCCCCAAATGGATTCAACAGGTATGCAGTGGTAAATGCAGCCCATACTAAAGCCAAAGGGAAAATCAGCAAGGGGCGGGCAGCTCTTCTCTGGAAACACCCGAGGAACCAGCCAGAAAAGCTTTTATGGCCCCGACAAGTTTTCTGCTGAATACTGAGCACCGAAATTACTCTTCCCTAATGGAAGTTACATTTTCATGCTCAGTCAAAAAGCCAACAAAATACACAATTTATACAAAATAGCATCAACCTCTTAGGCAGTCCTTACGAGCACTTTTATCCCAATTCACAGCCTATGTCTTGCTATAAAATAAAATGTATTTCTTATAACCAACTTGTATGTGGTTGTTCATATCATTGCGTTAGAAAGGACCACGGACAAACGGTATTAGAAACATTCTTACATTTGACTAAATCGACTTAGCCTGACAAAGGATATCAGAAGATACAGATACACAGGGAACGGAGGTATCATAATAATTCTTAAGATTACCTAAATGTCCTTTTGAAACAAACACAAGCATAATTACATAGACAATTAAGGAATGGCACATAGATTTTAATTGCAATTACAGAACCCAACACGGATGCAGAGAAAACATTCTTAATCACAAAGTTCAAATGAAATGTAGATGTATGAACTTTTTAAAGCAGCCATAATTTACCCTTTTCAATATTCTGTGGAAAAAATAAATAAGGCTTTTAAATTATTCAATTAGCTTCTTAAAAGTTCTGAAGAGCCTGAACTAGAGATAGATGATACCATTAAGAGCAGATCTATGAAACCCTTAGCATTTTATACAGGAGATTCTCTAGGTTTTTAATCACATAATAAACAAATTTCTTTAATAGACATCACTTGGTAAGAGCAGCTCAATTCTGAAACCTGTTCTCAAGCTTAGGTAACTGTACAACCCAATGCCCATTATCTTAAGAATGCTACATTTCCATTGTTGATTTATTTTTTAAAATCTATCCCCAGAGAAATAAAATACTGGATTTCTACACCCAGAACACACAAATGCACACTCATGTCATGTATATTCATGAGGAGAAATGGAAAAGATTCTCATGGTCTGCTGTTGTACATTTTTAAATAAAAGAATAGACCATCTTAGGTGTTACTACAGTGATGAGTTTCCTTTGTTTGACAGGTTTAGATGCAGGTTTTACAGAAGCTATTTTTTGCTATATTTCCACTAGTATAACTGGAACTACCTGTCCAGCCTTTTAAAACATTCCAGATTCTAATTTTTAAACACGAAAATATGAAGCCAGTGTTCAACCTATACAATCGCCAAAGGAGAGCTGCCAGTAGCTGAACTACTCAGCTAAATGGCTGGTTTGCATTGCCCTGGTCTTTATCTAGCACTGAGAATAGACTGCTGTTTTATCCAAAGAGGAATAAATTGCTGTTATTGTGATGTTAGCCCATCACTTGGCATTGCAATTCAAGTTTTTGTGAGAAAGAAATGTATGATCTAACTGCGACTTGACCTATGCCTTCCGAGATTCATCTAGGTGCTCTAATGGAGCAGAAAAAGTGGTGAATACAAGGACATGCAAACTGATGGTGAAAAATTTGTTTGATGATAGAAGTGAGCAGAGAAGACATTGGAGCGTAGCTGTTTTTATGACAGCTAAGTTTGTTTAACATGCAAAAGGGTGCGTCCCCAGCCTCCCACCTCTTTAATTGTATCTCACTAAATGCATGCTTTGCCTCTACTAAAGATAGGAGGCTATGTAGCTAACCTGTTAATGACATTACTACTAAAGTGGGCACAGATGATTCCTTACAGATAAACATCTGAATTTCCACAAAAGGCATTAGAGCATCTCATGGACGCACTAGGCAGGGATATGCTTGGGTTCCCTGCAGAAAAGTCATTCTATCTTAATCCTAGGTAGCTCCTATTAAATGTTTACGATATACTTGAATCACAGTGTATCCTAACAATATACAGTAGACTTATTTTAAATAAGATAATTATGTGATTGAGGTTTTTTTTTTTTTTTTTAAATCCCCATGGTTGTAGTCTAGTTTATCAACCATTTATTCAGAATTTCTCTGCGAAGGACCTGTTTTGAAAGAAGCCTGGAGAACAGCAGCAGCTAGATTTGAGGTCTGATAAAGGCTCCCTTTTCATTCATAGAGCCTAAATGTGCTCTTCTTGTACCTAAACAGATAATAACCACTCAGCACACTCCCCCTCCTTGACACAACACACTGAGACTAATCACACATAATTGGAGAGGAGGAGCAGAGGGCTGGCCATGCTATTGTGTCCAGAGGACAAACGGTCAGTTTATGAGGTTTGGGGCTGGTGTAGTCATTTCTTATACTTCTATAGGAGGAGAAGAGAGAAAAAAAACTCTGTTTAAAAGGGGGGGGGGGAGAAAAAAAGAGAGAGAAATGGCAAAATAATACAATTAATTTGAGAGAGATCGGAAAGATGTGCTTTATTTTTTTTTAACCAGGAAAGAATCATGATGTTTGCAGTGTTTACAGATTAAAAACTAGCATTACCAAAAATAGAACAAAGAGATAAATTTACCAAAAAAAAAAGGGGGGGGGGCGTTAGCAAATAAACTCTGTCTCAGAGGAAGAAACATTCAGGTTGTTTACAAATCAAATTTAAATCGCAGACGGATGACTTATACATTTTTAAAGACACACAAAGGTTTGGTGCAGAAAGCAACAAGCAGACTGAGGAAAGGGGATTGGAGGGAAGTGGTCAAGGATGGGTGGGGAATAATGTGGGTGAAGACAAGTAGATTCCATAAGCCATACTGTGGCTGAGGGGCCAGCCATGGGCGCCCTCAAATCTAGGAGTCAGCAGCTAGTTGTATATTATAAACAGTACAGATTTCTGGGTTTTTTTGTGTGTGTGCGTGTGAAAACCTTACACTGTGCACTTGATGTTTTCGTCTTTACTTGAGGAGCTTAATCTTCTATCCATTTTTCGTTAAAATCAGCAGAAGTGGGTAATGAAGGTTTTCTTCATACAGGTCTTGGTTTTCTTTCTTCAACTGAAAACAATAATAGGAAAATTAAGTCAGGGGACTTAGGTTACAAAATTTCACTTGTCAATTAATTTTGAGTATAGTGCTGACCTTTATTTAAATGCATGTATCTATTTTGTTATCTATTGTTATTAGGAGTCCCAGTGATGTAGAATAAGCACGTGACCACAAAGTCATTTTGAACCACAAGGTCAGAGGTTCAAACTCCCAACCACTCCTAGGAAACCCTATAGAGCGCTGCTATGAGTCAAAACCAACTCGATGGCACTTAACAACAACATTGTTTGTTCTGACTCATAGCGACCCTGTGTAGAGTTTCCAAGGAGTGGCTGGTGAGTTTGAACCTCTGACCTTGTGGTTCAAACTAACTTTGTGGTCCAGTGCTTATTCTACAGCGCCACACCAGGACTCCCATATATATGCAAATATTATATATACATGTATATATGTGTATATGTGTGTATATACATGGGAGGAGGAATCACACACAAAAATATACAAATTCAAAACAGTTCTTAATGGTATCTTTTGTGGAATGGAGTTTGCTTTTGTTTTGTTTGTTTTTCATAAATACCTACACTGCATTTGTGACCTGATTGTGAAGAGAGAGCTAGGAAGTCATTCATCTTCACCAGACCAGCCATTTGGCATAGAAGTTTCTGCCCTCTGCCCTGCTGGTCCCCCAATATTCAAGCAGGCAAGCACTTCAGATCAGCAACTGTGTGGTGGCCAGGGCATACTTAAATGGCTTTCAAGCTACTTCTTAGGTAATTTTTAATATGAATGATATGCAATTCAAAATTTCTGTTCTATGTGGCAGGCAGAAGATAATCCAACAATTAGCTCAGCAACATTTGATACTGCTCAGGTGAAGTTCTGAGGGCTTTTCCGTGATAGGTTTTTAAATTCAACCAGAGTCCTCATATCTAAAGTACACTTTTCCTTATTTGACTAGAGTAATTTTGACAGTTACATTTATTTAAGCAAATGGTGATTTGCCAATTATAAAGCTAAAAGTGTTATTTTTAAAGTTAGTGTTTTTGAGCCATTTGTTAATTTTAATTTCTAAGATTGGAAAGGCATACTGCTTTTAATTATACATGGGACCAATTATTTTATTGTTTCAAATGGGACAAACATCCTCCCGCCCCAAGCTAAATGAATGATTCCCACATCACAGTTTTTTTGGATTAGTCCGTCTAGGCTAGCATGTGAATGTGAATATTTTCCTTCTTCTAAATCACATTCCCAAACTATGACAGGCCCTCACTCACTGTTAAGACCAGAAGCAATGACCCAACTTTTTCCTTTTCCAATAGTGGACATAAAGCTAACCCAGTCTTTACTTTCTAAGATCTGGTGGTGATACAATCACTGAGGTAACTTCATTCTCTTTAGAGTTTGCTCTGTTTACAGATGATTAGTTGTCTATTTAGAAAGATCCTCATGGATTTTTGTTGCCACCAAGGTAGCGACAGTGTTAATCCTAAACACAGGCCCCTCAACATCATTCTTTTATCTGGGGGGAAAAGCAGAGAAAATGGCTTCACAACCTCCCAATCTAAACCCACAAACTGGGACCTACCAACTGTAAATACCTTTGTTGCTAGTTGCCCTAGTGATAGAGGGAACTCACTGAAATATTTTATAGAGGGGGCCAAGCTAGCTAAATTCTTTCCTCAGGGATTGAGGATCAGGGAAAGTTGATTACTCAGCGTGAGTCAGCTGACCTACTCACTCACAGTGCACTAATATACAGAGACTCAAATGAGCTCTTTATAAAGTCCCTGAGGTAATATGTAGGCTAAATAATTCTTCTGTAAATATGGGTTAGAAATCACTTTTAACTTGGATTCTATGCTGACCTCTGGAGGCCAAAGCAGAGACTTCTTCGTTGCTGGAAGGGGCCAGTGGCCAGTCCTCATTTCTTCCTGTAATGGCAACCAGGAAAAGCCCACAGCCCTCAGAGGCAATAACAGTCCAGTCCGGCACCAGATCATTTCTGAATCAAGTCAGTTATGTGAGGGCACTTGAACACACACAAAGCTGTTAGGAAATACTTTATTTGATGAGGGAATGTTATGTGATTGAAGCATAATTCTATTTACCAAGGCTGTATTTCTTTGCCCAATTAATAATCATAATTTCAAGAAATAATAAAGTACCTTGGGAAAAATGAACAAAAAAGCAAATGGTGAATAAAACAAGTTTTCAATTTCATAGGTTCAAACAGGGTCTTTGAGGACTGAACTAAATTATAGAGCTGCTATTAGTAACATTATGTTTTACTTCATAATTGGATGTAACATGCCCAGACTTACGGTGTGAACAGCAGCCATGGGAGTGCAGTTCAGACTGTTTACCCTTTACAGTATCCACAATTATCAACAACACACCACACAGATTATAAGCACCAGCTACTTGTAATGTGGCATTTTGAACAGATAAGCAGAGGTACAACGTGGCTGTGCTCTTAACACAGTGTACTGACTTCAGAGCGGAGCCCAATACGATTTTCATTACTGACTACAAAAATATAGAAAACAAACACTGAAGTGGTTTTGGGAAAGTTTGGAAAATAAAGGAAAAAAGAAGCATGGCATGTAAAATCATGTGTTAAGGAATATTTGCATGAATGAGAGTACTTTCATCAACTAATTTGAAGCCAAGGATAATCTCTCTGTCACTGTACCTCACTAAACAATTTTCTATCTCAATATCCTAAATGTTTGGAGGCACACCGTCAGACACTGCATTGGATTCCGTAGCCTGGAGGGAACCAAGAAGTTGGAGAGGAGCGCAGGAAAGTGTTTGGTTTTTCTTCCAGTTTCTTGGATGAACAGAAAGCCAACATTAAAAAAGAAAAAGAAGAAAAAACTACTACACCTTTGGCTGCCTGGTTCCTGAGGGCGCTGGTTGCATGGTGTGGGCACAGTTTAACAAAAGCACTGGCAGAAAAGTGCGGAATGGCACCGTTTTGATTACAGGCTTGCTTTTTAACGGAAATAAAATTTCACAGTTAACAATGAGAGGTGAAAAGTTTAAGAGGCAAAGCTGTTCCTCCTGATCACTGAGTGTTAATCAGCTTCATGGGTGGTTGCCTAAATCTGTAGATTTTTTTTTTTTTTTTTTACCTTGCACGACTGCCAAGATTGTAACTAATTTTTTCTCCAGTTGTAAGAGGAAGGGGTGAAAAACTCAGCATAGAAGGCAGCCGTGTATGAGTGACGTGAGGCACTAATGCAGAGGGCAAAATTAAAATTCATGAATCTCTTCACAACCATTTGTGTAACAAGATTAAGACGGGACAGCGGAAAAGAGCGGCATTATCAGGCGTTTTACAGTCCTCCAGCTGGTTACGCTCTATTCCAACACAGTAGGGCTAAGAGGATAACACGCAGCCTGAAGGAAAACGTTGCTCTTCCATTTGGGAGCAAGCTCGGCCCAGGGATGATGGGGGTTTGCCCAGAGATGGAGAGGAAGAAAGCTTGATTGCTGTTCAAGATGGAAAACTTTTAAGCTTTGGCTGTTAGCATGCCGCTAACAAAAGCTGCTGAGGTGGAGGTTCCTGGCAGCCCTGTGGGCCCCTTGGGGTCCCCAGAGCCCCAGATGGGTTGCTGGGTGAGGCCTACAGTGGGTCTGAGAAGCTAGGTGCTGGCTGCAGCCTCCATCCAGGGCCCTGCTGGAGAGTGCTGGGGCTCAGTCAGGGGCTCAGGTCCCTCCTTTCTCTAGTCTAGGGGGAAATCTTTTCCAAACACCCTTCTTGCAAAAGAGCCCTCCATGTGTAAACTGGGGTTGGATCACTAGGGCCAGGCTCTAGGCAGCCAGCACATAGGAACCTGCAGCAGCTTTCCCTAAAAGCAGAATACCAAACCCGCCGAAATAGTTCTAGTCATTTGTCTATATATCTAAATAACTAGAGCTAGTCCATCTATTTGGTTGTTGTTGTTGTTGGTAGGTGCCATTGAATTGATTCTGACTCATAGCAACCTATGCACAACAGAACCAAACACTGTCTGGTTCTGCAACAACCTCACAACCTTGGCTTGAGCCCATTGCTTACTGCCACTGTGTCAATCCATCTCATTGGGAGGAGTCTTCCTCTTTTTTGCTGATACTCCACTTTGCCAAACATGATATCGTTCTGCATGGACTGGTCCCTCCTGATAAAATGTCCGAAGTCTGAGAGACAAATCTGGCCATCCTGGCTTCTATACATATTGTATGTGTATGCTTTTACTCAGGTTGCCTCATCTATATGGAATATTCCACTAGCCTGAGAACAGTATGCAACTCCCCCTTGCCTGAAAAGCAACGAATAAACAATTATTTCTTAGTACAATATTAGTAAGGTGTGGAATTTGACTTGTAAGCAATTATGAAGAGATTGAAAACTAAGGCCACTTAGTTATTTCAGGAAATGTATTTTTGTGGGAGTAATCACTCTGTCAATGATTATTTTTGGAGTATTACCCGTGAGTAAAATAATGCAACTTAAATAAAAGAGATGTGTTTAACAAGTTATGGCAGTGCTTTAGCTTAGAAGGGTAGAGTACAAAGTTGTAAATTAAAAAGTTGCTGTTTACTAGGGACTAACAATGGAAAGTTCTAGACAAAGGAGAGGAGGGCACTGAGGGCTTGAATGCCTCTCCTGTCACAAGGCATTTCAGATCTTGTAGGGAGGAGACTGAGGCTATCATCACAAGGCTGGACATCTGCTGGTGGAATAACCCAGGTCTTTGCTCTCCTGAGCTGTCACTGAGAAGCAAAAAGCATTTGTTGTTTTAAAGCAAAAGTGAATGACGTGGCATTGAAACAGCCATCAGCTGATCCCAGGAGCTCCAGCTCCACCCTGAAGAGAAGACCCTTTGGGTGGAGGAACCCAGAGGGCCAGGAGAGACTCTCATGCTCCCTGGTTTATTCTACAGAGTTTTCAAAGAAAAGCAGGTGAGATTTGAATAACATGTCCTCCGATTTTTATTTTTCTGATCGTAAGCAATGGGCCAGATTCCGCTAGTGAGAGAATGTGGTTTAACTCTTTCACTTCATATAGCAATCCCAGCCCCTCACCCCTCTAAGGGGTTAAATGGAACCTTGGAGACCCGAAAAAGTGAACATATTTCCAAAAAGTTCCTCTCTTGTCTCGCAGATCAGATCCATTTTGCACATAACTTTTCAAAGGTCTACACACTCCTCCACTGGCACAATCCGAGGCAATAAAGAAAGCTATTATTATTCTCTCAGGAGAAAATTCAGGTCAAACCTTTGCTTTTCTGCAGTCACAACTTGCAAAATCATGACAAGTCAAAGTTTCCTGCCAAGGTTAGATTAGCTCAGAAAAGGGAGATTTCTGGGAGGCACAAAATTGCAGAAGTAATACAAGGTATCCTAGGAACTGTGATAGGTATTAACAGACATGAGATTCCTAAAAAGTTTTCAGTGGAACACTTACTCTCAGTGTCCTATATTGCACTACAACTATAAATAATAAAAAGGATGATAACATTGCTTTATGTAAGCAAGCTTAGAAATCACTCTCGGATAAGTGCTTTTGACCTAAATCTTGTAACTCCTCGATCTGACATGTAACCCCACAACTATGAAATTCTGTATGAGATATAACAGTCTCAAACTGCCAAATGACCCAGTCATAAAGCAAGCAGAGACAAAGATTTACAGTTCTGACATGATACAATTAAGACATTCACCTTCTACTTATTTCAGTACAGCTAAACATTTAACCTACTTAAAAGCTGAAGATTTTCCATTAACATAGAAATGCTTGTTTATCATTCGTTCGATGCCACCTTCCCTGCATTCTACCAATTAGTCTTATGAATGAAAAGATTAGGCTGTTTCAGAGAAAGAGTAAACAGGAATGATTTCTGTCAAATCCTCCTTAGACATGCAAAGATAAAAGATGGCTTTCCCACACAAAATAATCAGATACAAATAACTGTTCAGAAGCAGCACACCTAAGGAGGAATTTAATCAAATATTTAGGTTACCTGCCAAAAAGACCATGATCTCTTCAAAATGCAATGTGGATTAAAGTGTTATCTAACACAAGCAGAAAACTAACCTTGGAGTGGAAGTTTGAAATGTGTTCATCATAATTTTCATGTCTTTGGATAGAGAAACGCGCTTTTTCAGCTAGATTGGAAAACTGGTTTACAGTATTCCCTCGGCGTGGGGCAAATACCATTGCTTTCCCCTAGAACGTGAAAAAGGAAATTCACTCATTTAAAAACTGGAAGTCACCCAATTGGCCAACATATTTAAGGTCTGCTCTCAGGTAGAAAAACGCAAAGTTCCTTGAGGCATCCACACAAGACAGAACATTTACTCTAGAGATGGATATACATCAAATACAAAATCATATTTTTCATTCAAATGACCAGTTGCTGGGCTTTATCCTTTTCAAATAATGCATATTTAAAATGTGACTGCAAGTTGGCATTTTGTATGCAGGTTTCTGGAGTCCATTGGTTTAAAGAACTGACTAAGTTTTAGGACACCTTGTCCAGGGCAGTACAACCTACCTTGTGACTCCATAGCAGCTGCAGACAGCTCCAGAGAGCAGCACAGTTTCAGAGATGTGGCAACAGATGCATATAAATATTTATTGTACCGGAAAAGTTAATATCAGCACATCTGCAAAGAGAAGTTAGCACTATCCCTACCCAGCCTTTTCAGGGAGCATCCTGTTAGAGGTTGCTTTCCAACTTTCCGGAGTCTCTCTTCCTGGTTGTTGTTACAGCAAAGCAGCTACTCACAGTACTCAAATGACTGTCTTTCAAAGAAAGTGGTATAATGCTAGTCACAGGTTTTCCTAAAGAAACCACACGGTCTGATGAGATTGTTGCTTGCAGTGGAGAGAACAGGAGGACTTGAACAAAATATGCATGGCACCTGATTTCAGGAGACCATCCAACACAGAATTCTACACTGATTTCAATACTGGGCACAGACGGATTTCCCCCCTGCCTTTCCAGATGTGTATAGAATGGCCAAACTCAGAAATGAATTTCCTTTTTCTGTTTGTAAAGATGCCTATATGCTTCTGTTTATTTCAAGGTTATACTTTATCTCTATTAAAATGACACTTCAGGTTTTGAGGCAATCATGAAAATATCTCTGTTTCTTATGAAAGTTGGTTTCTCATTCATGCTTACCCATCATTTACTGAGCATGTGGAACATCTTTTCTAACCCCCTATGATATGTGATTGTTGTTGTTAATGCCGTCAAGTCGGTTCCAACCCATAGCGACCCTGTATAGGGTTT